CTCCTGCTCCTGCTCCTGCTCCTTCTCCTGCTCCTTCTCCTTCATTTCCTCTTTTTCTTTATTTTTCTGCTTCTTATTATTAGCTCAGAAAGGCACCATTATTTATAAGTTTACATGGGCTACAGTATCTGTAATTTCCCTCAGGTCCTTTAAGATACAAGCCTTCTTTTCAATACCTTACCTTAAAGATATTTAAAGAAAACTTTTGTCACAACAAACCACTGTAAACAAAATTCTTTATCTCTGTGATGACAGCGATTTCTTATTATATATTGTTTTCTTCCTTTATGTACCAGGGGTAAATATGAGTATCTGCTATGGATGAAGACAGATCTGTACACCATCAAGCACACACAGTGGTTTTTCTTCAGGATACGCAACACACAACCTGGTGTTACGTATCAATTCACTATTATAAACTTTATCAAGGTACTGAGGGTTTGGTTATTTGTCAAAATACTGCCGCCGCTACTACTACTTCTATAGTGATGACAATGATGATGACAACTGCTATTGCTAATCATCATCATCATCATCAACATTATTGACATCAATGTCATCATCATCATTATCATCATCAATGTCATCATCATCATCATCATCATCATCAATATCATCATTGTCATCATCATGATCATCAACATCACAATCATCATCAACATCATCATCATCAAAATCATTATTAACATCATCGTCATCAATGTCATTATCAACATCATCATCATCAACATGAATGTAATCTGATCTTCAGCATCATCATCATTGTCATCATTATTGTCAGCATCATCATCATCAACATCATCATCAATGTCATCATCAATGTCATCATAATCTTCATCATTATCATCATCATCATCATCATAATTTAACATCATCCTCATCAACAACATCTTTCATTATCCTAGCATTGGGGACTCATTACTACTTAAGTCTCCAGGGCTCAATTCACATCTTCTTGGACTAACAGTTATGTCTTTTATATATGTGATGTTTTTCTGTCTTCATCATTCAGTCCAACAGCTTGTACAATGATGGCATGCAGCCTCTGTTTTACTCAGAGATGGACGCCTACAAGAATAAAATTGGTTGGGTTAGAAAAGGTGAAAATGTCAAATACTACAAGAATGAAATGAGGTGCGTCTAATCAGTATAAAAGGATTAGTTATTGATTAGCGTGCTTCCATTACAGTCAAACTACTCTAAGAAAACCGTGCACACCTGAAATGTTAAGCATGGTGCTCTGACCAATGGCATGCAAGAATTAACTTGTCGTTACGATGGAGTAGGTGCCTGGCAAAGTGGTAGGCGATGGCAACTAGCTGGCAAGAGGTAACCATGGCAACCAAGCCACGGGTCAACCTCGGCACCTGTCACACTGCTTACACAGTGGAAGTAAACTACTTACCTTGTCCAACCAGAGGAGGGTGGGCGGGGCAAAACCGCGATATGA